AAGGTGGCGCCAGCATAAAATTAACACTGACACTTTTCCTCGTACCGCGGAGGCCGCACACGCGCTGTGAAGGCGAATATCCTTCGCTGGTGGGTGGGCCCCCGGGGGTGGACGCGACATGCGTACTGGCCCGAACACGCCAAAGCCCCCAAGACCAGTAAACACAAGGCAAAAGCGGGACAGGAGGGAGGGAGAGCTTGAGACGGGAACATACAAACGAAACGAAGTTGCATTCGGAGCGGCACCACCTTAATACAAACTCCCCCCAGTCCCCTCACGAACGCCCCCCACACCGGTCACCTCTGGAGGCGGGGGGAGGAGGTGAAAGACAAAACCCGAAAAAAACATGTCCAAGGACAACGCATAACACATAGTGTGTCCGTTGTTCTGCCTCGAGAGGAGAGTTCCTAAGAGCGCGCCAGGCCGGGGCCTGTCTCGACGCGTGGGCGCTCACAGGTCCTTTGGGGACCAGGGAGCTTACGATTTGAGAACAACTTTGTCGGTTCCCCTGGGTCCGAAAAAAATTGTCCCCCAAACCTCTGGAGGCCCCTCCGCTCGGGGGTGAGTTCAGACAGTTTGGGACTTCCCCATGTTGGCGGCTCTCCCCTGGCAGGTTGCTGCGCGGGCTGATCTTCTCCCGTCGGACTAGCCTGATCGCTCATGTGATGTGTTCTTCGTGTGCGCGGTAATCGGTTCAAAAGTTAGGCCGACGAGTCCTTTGGCCCCATGTGTCTCTCAGTTGATGGCAACGCGCGCGCCGATGCATTGTATCTTGGCTGAACTGGCCTCGCACTCCCAGACGTCGGCCACAATGTTGATGGAGCGGGTTGCAGTCCTAGTGTAGAAGCAACCTTATCCGCGGTGGGCGACGAACAACCCTGAACAAGAGTAGGGGTAATAAGTTCCCCACGCAAAATAGCAAGGCACGTTCCGTCGTGATTGTGTTCACGACGCGAGGGGGTCTGGGGCCAAACCCCTCTGACGTTGCCCTTGGATCGCGAGACCGGAGGCGTGCGGCGGCACAAGCCCCGGGGGCTCGAAATATACACCCAAGTAGTCTGGCCGGCCAAGAGGCTCTATGTATAGTATGGACGCCGCTCTCGTTGGCTCCTTGGCCAACCAAGCTGCACGGTGTACACGTCAGAATTAAGCAGCATCGAATCGGGAAACCGGATCGAATCGCAGTGTGCGTCGAATCGGGCTGCACAGGCACGAAGTCCAAATCGGATCGGACTGGCTGCGCCGAGGTGCACAGCAACGCCACGCAGGCAACGGGCCGCCTCGGATCTGCTGGAAATCGAAACTCGGTTCGGATCGCGACGGCCGACGTCGAAATGTGGACACCTGGAATGGGTACGGAAGAATGGGCACGATGCCCGACAACACGTGCTGTCCAAAACCGACAGCGGCCGCTATGGAGCTTGCGGCCAGATGGACAACGCCCGCGGCGACACCGACGGCGTACCCTGTTCAAAATGGGATTGATATCCTGTCGGCCTCTGTTCCCATTCTCTCCGTGCCCATGTCGCCCGTCCCGAAATATCGAGTCGGATCGATCGGGCCGCGAGGTGGACCCTGCAGGTTGAGCCCCTACTGATGGGCATGTTTTCCACCACCACCACCACCATGAGTTGGAGGGGGGAGGAGGTGGAGGACGAGGAGGAGGAGGACGAGGGGGAGTAGGTGGAGGAGGTGGAGGAGGGAGGAGGAGGGGGAGGAGGGGGAGAGGGAGCAGGAAGAGGACCCCCTGCCCCTCCAACTTATGACGGTGGTGGTGGAGAACAGGCCCAACACCTGCGAGCAGGAGGAGGAGGAGGAGGAGGAGGAGGAGGAGGGTGAGGAGGGGCGATGGGGCCGCGACCTCGCGCTCCGCGGCGCAGAGCAGCGCCAGGCAGGCCCGCCACCTGCCGGCCTTCTCACACGCGCTGGCGGCGGCGCTCAGCACCTGCGCTTCGGTCGGGCGTGCCTCCCTGCAGTGGACGGTGGACGAGAACTCGAGAAAATACCCAAAAACAAATATTCCAAAATGATCAAAAAGAATACTCAACAACAAAAAATCGTCCACAGACCAGTTTTTGACTATTTGGGGATGTTCCCCCTGTAGAGGGACAGGCCCGATTCACGTTAAGCCTGCGCCACCCAGCGGGGCGGGCTGGGCTGGAGGGGGCGACAGGGTAGGATAGCAGAGGGCAGGGCGGAGAATCACGTCCCGCGGCCAATTCTCCTGGCGCCGCCTAGCGCCGTGAGGCGCCCCGTGAGGCGCCCCTGATGGGCGTGTTTTCCACCACCACCATCATAAGTTGGCGCGGGGGTCCTCCTCCTCCTCCTCCTCCTCCTCCTCCTCCTCCTCCTCCTCCTCCTCCTCTTCGTCCTCCTCCTCCTCGCCCTGGACTCCTCCTCCTTCCCCCCTCCAACTTATGGTGGTGGTGGTGGTGGAAAACAGGCTCATCAACCCCTGTGCCCAGGAAGTGGGCCGGCGGCGGGGCGGAAACCAGCTGCATGCAGCAGAGTTCGTAAGCCCCCCCCTTTGCCTATCCTACCCTTTCGTCTGGCCCGATGGAAGCGCAATGCACAGAGGAGCGAGCGAGCGAGCGAGAGCGCGGTACCGCCAGGACGGGGCCCTTCAGGGCCCGCGCGGGCGGGGGGGGGGGCGGGACCCTCAGGGCAGGGTGGCCCCGTTCTAGCATTGTCTCGCAGATGGAGTGAGCTCGTCGACAGATCTCTGCCGCTAGTGCATGTGACCCGTGTCCCAGAGCACATCGGCATGTGCAACGCTCAAACTCCGTCTCACGACCTCGGGTCTCAGCCGTCAGAGTTTAGGCTCCCAGCGTCCGACATCCAACGCACAACGAAGTGGAGCCTCGAGGACGAGGATCTGGGTGGGAGGCATCATCAGGGGGGGAAGCCCAGTGGGGGATACGTCGAGCCGGAACTGGCGATGCGTCGCCGATTGATCGGCGATAGGCCCACGAACAGAATCGGCACGCTCCTGGGCGGGGTTGGCAGTCGGGCCCCTTTCGGCGATCAGTGGGCGATTGGGGGTCGATGCGCTCCCCCCCTGAGCCTACTCCTCCTCCTCGTCCTCCTGCCCCTCCTCCTCCTCCTCCCCCTCTCCTCTTCCTCCTCCCCTCCTCCTCCTCCTCCTCCCCCTCCCCCTCCCCTCCCCCTCCTCCTCCTCATCCTCCTCCTCTTCCTCCTCCTCCTCCTCTTCCTCCTCCTCCTCCTCCTCCTCCTCCTCCTCCTCCTCCTCTATCATTGACACCGAATAAATCTCAAAGTGTGCCCGGCATCTGTGCCCCGTCGTGCGCTGGGCCCCACCCGATCGATTCCCTCCCCCGCCCTTTGTCCCCACCTTCAGCGCCTCAGCCTCACCTCCGCTGATCCCTCCCTCGACCGAACCCGAGGATGACGACTCAGATTAGGTCGGGCTCGTCCCCCTACAGGCGGATGCTGGACGATAAATAAAAAGTAGTCAAACATGTTCAAACATAGTCAAAACTATATCTATATAGAAGAGGGGGAAAAGTTCCCACACTATGTTTTGACTATTGTTGAACATTCCCCCCGTAGAGGGACACGCCCGACTTAAGACTAAGAGAAAACACAGGGGGGACGACTCAAACGCTGTTCGGTTGAAGGACAACAAGACATCTGAAGGTGTGAGTACCGGCAGGCAGGCGGGAAGGAGGGAACGGACGAGCAAGACTGGGGCGAGCACGGGAAAGACGAGGACGACACATAGCGGAAGGCAGGACTGAGAGAGACATGGACAGACATTCGGAGCATGCTTTCTGTCAGACGGCAGCAACGTCGCTCGACTCCAGCGCAACGTCAAAGTGGTGCCAAGAGCGCGTTTCTTTGTTTTCGGCGATAAAGGGCATTCTAAGGGTTATAAGGGGGGGAGGGGCCAGGAAAGGGGTATAATGTAACGCCTCCCCCCCGCCGTGCGCTTGGCGGCAGTGCCCGGAACGCACTGGGGGGGAGGGGCGTTCCGTCATGGGGGGATGGGGGGCCGGGGGCTATGATGCCCAGGATGCCCCAAGCAATAAAAAAACACGCAACAAGACGCCTCGCAGTGATGCGTTGCTGAGGTCATCCGAAAACGCCTCGCAGGTGGCGCCACGCAACGAATCAGTAGTGTGCCGAGTGGGCGGGGCGACGCCCCCACGGGCCCTGCCACTGAGGCCTTCGGTGGCACTCCCCACGGGCATCGCGGCATCCTCCTCGGGCAACTGGACGATGCCTCGATGCCCCCAGGGGCCCCCGCTCTGAAAGAAGCGAGGCGGCCCCATGCGAACTCTCCCACTGGGGCATGCAGTGTACGGCCCCCTCTGGGGCCACGAAACGTGCGAGGGACACCCCGAGCTGAACGCGCGACCTCCATGCGGGCCCTGCCACTGGGGCCTTCGGCGGAGCCCCCTCATGGGGCCGCGAAGCGTGCGAGTTGTGCCCCACAGCGGGCGCGGGCACGCACGCGGGCTTTGCCGCTGGGGCCCTCGGTTGAGCTCTCCATGGGGTCACCAAGCGTGCGAGGGGTGTGCCGAAGTGAGCGCGCGTGCACGCATGCAGATGCTGCCGCTTGAGCCTTCGGTGGAGCTCCCTAATGGGGTCACGAAACGTGTGAGAGGTGCGCCGAGGAAGGAGGGAAAGAATAGGAGGAGGAGGAGGAGGAGAAAAACAATAATGCGGCAAGGGGCAGCGGGAGGTGAGGTAAGACGCGCGGAACTGCGGATCAAAAGCAGGACCCAACACCACAGGATAATTGGTGACTCGGTTAGCTTCCTGCCTCTGGAGAAAGGCTGGAGAGGACGACTGGAGCATCCCAATGACGACGACGTTCTCGAGCAGACCTGGAAGCATCGCCCCGGGTGCTGCCGCGTGACGGCCCAACCCAGACCGAGCATGTCCCGATCGTCATTCCTAGTGCGACCAAATGATAAAGAAAAACATGTTCTATACTGAAACGTGAACATGCATAACAAACAAAACATCAACAAGAGGAGCAAAGAGAAACCGCCTGGGACAATTAAAACAATCGTTTCCGGAGCCGGAGAACATTTCAAATCTTTGCCTGGACAGTCAGGTGGCAGTACCCCCCTGGGCGTATCCTTATCATATGATCGCATTGCAATATGGAGAAGCCCTCCAGAAGAGACTCGCAGAGTTGCCCCAGGAAGCGCTATCGCCTCTCACCCCGGGGAACGAGGCAGCCGCCGACTGCGCCCTAGTGGGCAGGAGCGGTGCAGAGACAAGCCCTCTGCAGCACGGACACACCAGTGCGAACCCTTTTGTTAGCTCCAGCGTGTCCCCCTACAGGCGGATTTTGGACGAAAAATGAAAACTACCCCCAAAAATACAGCGAAATTGTCAACACAAATTAAAACCTTCTCCCCAGACTAGATTTTGACAGTTCTAAATGTGCCTCCTGTAAAGGGACAGGCCCGACTTAACCCATTTGTGGAAAGCATCACAGCGAGAGGAGGCGGGGGGGCGGCCTGGAGGCGAAGCGTCAAAGATTTGAAGCGCGGGGGCAGCGGAGAGAGCCCGCGGGCGCTTTCGGCCCCGGAAGGGGCACGATCGCGTCGGGCTGCAGCCGCGACGCGCGGCAGCCTGCGAGCAGCGCCAGCGCCTGCTGCCAGCGGGCCCCCTTCTTCTCGGGGCCGAGAGCCGCCGTCGGGCGGGGGAGAGGCAATCAGAAGCCTCGATATCCTCCGTGCCCCTACATAGACTGAGATCGGCACCGAAACGAGGCGGAGCAAATCGCAGGGGAAAGGATATGCGCCAGGCTGGCAAGACGGGGTGGCGCGCCTCTGGGGGGCACCGCCAGAGGCGATCCACATCCACCGGCCCTGGAGTCCGGCGCTGGCGCCCTGGGGACAGCGGATGTGGACAGCTTCCCGCCCAGAGCGGTGAGCAGACATCCACTTCCACTACTCGTCCAGATCCCAGGGCAAGACTCGGAAGCGGTAGACACAGATGTGCTCTGGCGGCGGCTCGTGGGGGGCCGACCCAGGCACGTGGAGCAAGGGTGCCCAAACTGCGAGAGCTACCACACCACCACAGCACGTTCCGAGCTCGCCTGGTTCAGATCGGAGTCTGGTCCCTGGGATGGCTTAGAACGGAGGTCCCTGATACTGGCTGCCATCCTCCTCCTCCTCCTCCTCCTCCTCCTCCTCCGCCTCCTCCTCCTGCCAGAACTTCCAGTAGTGGCCGAGTGGGGGGTCAGGGCCCAAGGGCACGTCGCGATGGGATCGGCGTTGGCCCTCGGACCCCGGGTGGAACGGCCACCGCTGAAAGAGCGCGTCGGTCCCTCTGCGCCGCTCCTTCGACATCGACCGAGTCGGCGATCAGCCTTGAGCACCCGCTGGTGGGCTCGTTCTCCACCGCCATCACCACGAGTAGGAGGGGAGGGGGTCCTCCTCCCCCTCCTCCTCCTCCTCCTCCTCCTCCTCCTCCTCCTCCTCCTCCTCCTCCTCCTCCTCCTCCTCCTCCTCCTCCTCCTCCTCCTCCTCCTCCTCCCCTCCTCCTCCCCCTCCTCCTCCTCCTCCTCCTCCTCCTCCTCCTCCTCCTCCTCCTCCACCTCCTCCTCCTCCTCCTCCTCCTCCTCCTCCTCCTCCTCCTCCTCCTCCTCCTCCTCCTCCTCCTCCTCCTCCTCCTCCTCCTCCTCCTCCTCCTCCTCCTCCTCCTCCTCCTCCTCCTCCTCCTCCTCCTCCTCCTCCTCCTCCCCCTCCACCTTATGGTGGTGGTGGTGGTGCTGGAAAACAAACCCATAGCACCCGCACTGGGGCCGCCGCCGCACGGCCTCGGCGCCACGCACCTGCCGTGAGCGCGGCCCGCTCCAAGGGCCTCCACAGTGCATGAGCCCCCCTCAACGCAGGGCAGGCTCGCGGAGCTCGCCTGTCGCAGCGGTGACGGCCGCGCACCGCGCCCGAAGCCCGAGCGAGGCCCCTGCTCGGCGACTTGCGCACCAGGAGGCACGGAACGGGAGAGGACGGCCGCGGAGGAGGACGAACTCGAAAAGCGCTCGGCGGGGCCCCCCTCGAGCGGACCTGCGGCTCTCCAGTACCTCAAGTGCCCGCGCAGATCCTGCTCATCCGCCTCCCGCCGCCTGCCCCTTCTTCTCCTTCTCCGCATGCTCAGCATGCTCCTCCTCCTCCCCCCCCCCTCGTCCCCGCCCCCCTCGGCCCTGAAGCTGAGATGCAAGAAATCTGCGGGGAACGTCGAAAGAGAGTGTATGTGTATGCAGTCTTCTGTACTGCGTGTAAGTAGCCCCTCCTTGGGATCACCCCCCTGAGTATCGTTTGACCGATCCCTCCCCCCACTGGCGTGCCCTGGGCCCCACTGGCCGACCTGATGGGTGTGTAGGCTGGTCCCTTTGGGGGTTCGAGGGGCCTGTCCCCAGCTGGGGTGGTGGTATAGTGGGACTGAGGTGGCACAGCTGGGTGGGGATGTGGAGTATGATAAACGATACTGACCCCCTCCAAGAGATCCGAAGTCGTGATAGTTTTTAAACGGGGTCCCCGGAAGTCTCGACCCATTCCCCAGGACCAATTTTTCATCCTGAGTCGTTTCTTGGCGGTCCCGGGGCCCGGCGAGGGCTCCTAGGGTCTGAAATCTGCGAAAGACCTCCGCCCTGATCTTTTCAATGCGTCGGATCTCTGGGCTTTTCGCCGCACCCTCGACGGACCTGCAATTCGGTCGGGCATGTCCTCCTTCAGGCGGATTTCGGGCGAATGATTCTTTAATTGTACGAATACGACTAATGAGTAATAAACTAATAACGATAATATAATAAAGGAAATACCCCCAACATATTCAAAACTTATCTCTCACACACACACACACAAAAAAAAAAAACGTCCACTGACTATTTCCTGACTATTATTGAATATTTCCACTGCTGAGGGACAGTCCCGAATTAAACCTGCGAGGAGGCGCCCCTCCCTAGACCCGGGAGGGGAGGGCCGCGGCAACCGGCTCCCGGCCCCGCTGGCTCGCAGGCGCTGACGGCCGCGCTGGTGGCGACGACGTCCACCCTGGCGGGCCCCCTCCTCGTCAAACTCCTCCTCCTCCTCCTCCTCCTCCTCCTCTCCTCCTCCTCCTCCTCCTCTCCTCCTCCTCCTCCTCCTCCTCCTCCTCCTCCTCCTCCTCCTCCTCCTCCTCCCCTCCTCCTCCTCCTCCTCCTCCTCCTCCTCCTCCTCTCCTCCTCCTCCTCCTCCTCCTCCTCCTCCTCCTCCTCCTCCTCCTCCTCCTCCTCTCCTCCTCCTCCTCCTCCTCCTCCTCCTCCTCCTCCTCCTCCTCCTCCTCCTCCTCCTCCTCCCTCCTCCTCTCCCTCCTCCTCCGTGCACCCGTGGCTGCTGCACCCGTGCTCCGCCGGCACTCCGTGCTTGCAGCGCAGGGCCGCCTCAGCCCTGCAGGGCCGCCTCCTTCTCCCCCTCCTCCTCCTCCTCCTCCTTCTCCTCCTCCTCCTCCTCCTCCTCCTCCTCTCCTCCTCCTCCTCCTTTCTCCTCAACCGCCTCCTCCTCCGACGCCTCCTCCTCCTCTTCCTCCTCCTCCTCCTCCCTCCTCCTCCCTCCTCCCCCTCCCTCCTCCTCCTCCTCCTCCTCCTCCTCCTCCTCCTCATCCTCCTCCTCCGCCATGATGTGATCGGGGGAGGGTTGGCCCCCCCGATCACATCATGGCTGGTTACGGCCCCCCGGGGCCTTGTTCGAACCCCCGGGCCCTCGGGAGGAGGAAGAGAAGGAAAAGGGAAGGGGAACAGAGGAGGAAGAGGGGATTGAGGAATTCCTGGAACATCTTGAGATTCTGCTGCTGCTGCTGCTGCTGCTGCTGCTGCTGCTGCTGCTGCTGCTCCTTCTCCTTCTGCTCCTCCTCCTCCTCTTCCTCCTCCTTTTCCTCCTCCTCCTCCTCCTCCTCCTCCTCCTCCTCCTCCTCCCCTCCCCTCCGTCTCTTCCTCCTCCTTCTCCTCCTCCTCCTCCTCCTCCTCATCCTCCCCAGGTCGTCGTTTTCGCCGTCGTCCTCCTCATGCGGAGGAGTCGGGAGGATACTCAGGAATATGCTTGTGAACGTTCGGGGGGCGCGTGTCCATACGTATCCCTTGTGAGCGTTCGGAGAGTTCGCCTGGATGACATTTGATCGCGATGATGCTGCAAATTCTTGCGCAACTCATCCCTTTCACGCGCTTCCCGCTCATGTCGGGAAAGGTTTGAAAAACTAACGCTTCGCCTGAAACATCCTCGCAACATCGTGACGTTGGGGGTCGCATCTTAAGACGTAGTTTGATAAAAATGGGCGTTTCGCCTGAGACATCCTCGGACAATGGGAATGTCGAAAAAATGGGATGCGCCAATCGCTCTTGTGAGGCATCTTTTCGGAGCGATCTCGGATGACCTCCAAGATAGCCCAAGCGCGTCGCTTAATCATCAGCGTTACGCTCGAGACATCCCCTAAGCAAATCCTTCGAACGGGCCCTCGAAACCATCTGGTTTCCTCCTCCTCCTCCTCCTCCTCCTTCTCCTCCTCCTCCACTTCCCAGTCGCGGACAACAGCGACGACGCTTGGGCAACAACGACGGTGCGGGCATCGTCCCGCTTGGGGGCCCCCGGGTTACGGAAGCCGCAGGGGCCCCCGGGCGGCGCCTCCGGCGCCGCCCCTGGCGCGCTCCGCGCGCCAGGGAGGGGGGTCCAGCGCCGATCCGAGAAATCCGCGCGGACCTCTGAGTTTTATGTTTATGTCACTTTTTGTTCCCCTGAGGGGACCCTGAGATCCTGACGCTGCAATTTCTTCACAACAGGCGTTGTCGCACGATTTGAGGCGCTGGGACCCTCACAGATTGATCCGGCCCGAAAAAAAGACGCAGAGAGATGGGGTCGGGGGCTCTGGGCGCGATTTTTTGTGATGATGCAACTTTTTGGCAACTTTTTGACGCAGAGAGATGTGGCGGGGACGCACTGACGCGGGTCAATGCAGACCCAGGTCAGTCGGGCCTTGCAGGACCATGCACCCAAGGTCGGGCCCATACGCAGGATCCTGCAGGATCCTGCACCCAAGCCGGGATCCAACGCGACCCTGACCCTGCGACCCTGCAGGGTCCGGCGCTCTGGCTGACCCCTAGGGTTGCATGGACCCCCGTCTCTCGAGCACCGACCCGGGAGAGCTGCACCCCTGCAACGGGGCCGGTTGTTCATCCAGGGCCGTTCCCTGACGGCCCCAGGGCCCGTCGAAGGCCGCCGGAGCTCGAAAACAGTCGAGCAGCATGCCGTCGTTATTGATGAGGCCCTGGGACACACAAATAAGTTGACACAAATGACAGGTTTCCCGATATGTTTTCCCCTGGGCTCCAGCCAAGCCGACCTTGAGCAACCTCGTAATTGAGTCGAAGGGAAGCCCCTTCCCTTTGATCCCTCCCCCGCCGGGAGGGGGGGGGGGGTAGCGACCCCCCCCCCGGGTCAGATACGACGCCCCCCCCTGGGACTCCTCTTCCCCTGGGCTCCAGCCAAGCCGACCTTGAGCAACCTCGTAATTGAGTCGAAGGGAAGCCCCTTCCCTTTGATCCCTCCCCCGCCGGGAGGGGGGGGGGTAGCGACCCCCCCCCCGGGTCAGATACGACGCCCCCCCCTGGGACTCCTCTTCCCCTGGGCTCCAGCCAAGCCGACCTTGAGCAACCTCGTAATTGAGTCGAAGGGAAGCCCCTTCCCTTTGATCCCTCCCCCGCCGGGAGGCGAGGGGGGGGTAGCGGGGGGCGGTAGCGACCCCCCCCCCAGGTCAGATACGACGCCCCCCCCCCGTACCGACCTTGAGCAACGTCGTAATTGAGTCGAAGGGAAGCCCCTTCCCTTTCCCTTCCCCGCCGGGGGAGGGAGAGGGGGTCCCGGGGGGGGTCCCGGGGGAGTCCCGGGGAAGTCCCGGGTCAGATACGACACCTCCCTCCCCCACCTTCTCGTCCTTCTCCCCGTTCCCCAAAACCATCCCACAGCCCGTGCCTCTTGCTGCGCATTGCGAACAGGGTCGGCGGCACCGGCCGTCAGGCCTTCGCAATAAGTTGACACAAATGACAGGTTTCCCGATATGTTAGCATATTTTTTGGATTTTCGTCTCCCCCCACTTCTTATATTTTCCCATATTATCCTGGGAGTCGAAGATTAGTTGTGTCTGTGTGTTTTTTTCCCTCCTGAGTTGTGGTGTCGCATCGAAAGGAGGGGGCGGGGGCGCTCGGTTTGGGGATCGCAGCTCGGGCCTCTGGAGGCCGTTCGGGACAACCCGGGCACCCACAAAGGCTCTCGGCGAAGCGCAACTACTGGAAAGCATCTCCTAAAAGGGATATCTGCCAGAATCCGCAAAAACATCCACAGAGACCTTCACTCAGGACACGACGATGGGGGCCTCCTGGATGGGGCCCGAGCAGAAGGTGTCAGAGGATCGCGTCGCATCACCGCTACATCGGCGATGCATCGAAACGCCGACGCGAAGCAGAACGGGATCCACATCGAATCGCACCGCCGATGCATCGGCGATGTGGCGCGATCTCTCGGACCCTACTCGGGAAAGGCCAAGCGCACCGTCGCTCGAGCGTCCCTTCCCCGTGCCGTTCTCAGCATCGTTGGGTGTTTTTTTTTCGCGAGATGGTCCGGGATGCTCCTCGATGCGCCTCGCCGATAGACGCACGCGCCCGAGCGATACCAAACTGAAGTGAAGTCGGGCCTGTCCCTCTAGAGGGGGAATGCTCAAACATAGTAGTGAAAAAAGGTCCAGGGACGATGTTTGGAATATGTTTTGGCATTTTTGGGGTACTGTTTGTTGTATCTTTCATTATTCGCCCAAAACCCGCCTGTAGGGGGACAGGCCCGATCGAAGGCCAGCGAAGGGCTAAGGCTGGCGAAGCGCGGCGTGTGCGCGCGCCAGGCCCGAGCGGCGAGCAGAGCCGCGGGGTGCTGGGCCGACGGTGGCTCGAGACCAAAAAGGAAGGGGCGGCCTGCTCGTCGGCGTCATCGTCGTTCGCGCAAGGACCGATCACAGGGCGGTTTCGCGTGGCTTGGGCCCTTCTTTTGGACTTCGTTGCGTTGTTCGTTGTGGTTCCCTTTCGTCGTTCGTTGTTGCTTTAAACGCCCCGTTTCTAAGGATCTGAGCGCCGCCCCAGGCGGAGGCTCCTGACCGCCGCGGCGGCCATCCCTCCCAGCAGCCCCAGCGCCAGCTGCCAGCCGCCCGCCTTCTCCTTGGCGGCGCGCACAGAGGGCAAAGGGGCGAGGGGAAAGGCTTCTCGGGAGGCTGCTTCTTTGGAAGGCGCCGGCCCTGCGCCCCCAGAGGTCCGAAGCCCCAAGAGAGCTGGAGCGGGCGAATTTAGGCTGTCTGTTCGGCCTCCGGGGGCCCTCGCCAGGCCTCGGAGGCCCAGACCTCCGGGAGCCACGCAACGAACACATGTTCGAGCAGCCGGATGTCTGGGTCCACAGGCAAGGCCCGCGCCTTCGAAGAAGCAGCCTCCTTCTGAGACTGGAGCCACGCGCGCGCGCGTCGCGCGCGCTCAGGTTCTAGCCAGCTCCAGGCCGTGACAAATTCACAGATCCTCTGAAATGGTTACCCACCGATTGCATGAATGCGGAGCTCATCGAAGCGTCAAAAAACGAGGGCCGAACAGAGACCGATCGCATAGCAATGCAACGCAGTGCCATGGAAACGAGGTACGAGCACCATGCAGCGAGAAGCACAGAAAATGAAAGGCAAGACACTGCGATGCCATACAACTAAATACAAAGCTTAACAATGCTCGCCAGGGCAATTCTGTTTGCGGAACCATGCCTGTGCACATCCGTCGGATAAAAACCAAGTGACAGACAATGCAATACAATGCACAACAACGCAAGAGGCCGCGCGAACCCGAGGGTTCAGGAACACAGGGATCCCAAAGATGAAGTGCGTAAAAAAATGGTGGATGTCCCGATTCCGCTTTTGGTAAACGTCCATATGACGCTAGCGCACCAGCTCGTCCTTTTTCTCGCCCCCCTCCTCCTCCTCCTCATCCTCCTCCTGCCTCTCGCAATATATCATCTGGCCGGTCGGCTTCCCCGACCGGCGACCGTTTAGATTGCCGCGCAAACTTCTCACATAGGAAAATAATTACGCTAATGGAGTTCCCCGCATTGTTTTTTTTGGGAGCGCCGCATTACAGGGGGGCGCAGAAGAAGTAGGAAAATGGATGGAGGGGGACAACGATGCCCGCAGGAGGGGAGAGTAGAGGCGAAGAAGACGAAGTGGGCGCGGGAGAACGAGTAGGCGGAGGAACAGCAGGATAAGAGGAAGTGGAAGAGGAGGGGGAGGAACGAGCAAGAAGATATGGGGGAGTACGGAGTGTAAGAAGAAAACTACAACTAGGATGAATGGGGGAGGCGAGGTAAGAGGACAAGCAGGATGGGAAATGGGAGGATAACCGCGAGTAGGATGAGGAGGACCACGGGTCGCCTGAAGCGAAAGCGGGGCACAGAGCTGGCAGAAGAACGAGAGGGTTCCTCCAGAGGGGAGAGCAAATGCGAAGACCAAGAGGGTGTGGGAGAACGACATGTAGGAGGTGAAGGAGGAGGAGGAGAAGGAGAAGGAGAAGGGGAATTGGAAAAGGAAGGGGAGAAATGACCAAGAAGAGATGGGGGAGTACGGAGTGTAGGGAGAAGGCTGCAAGTAGGAGGAGTTTGGGAGGAGATGTAGGACGTAGGAGGACAAGCAGGAGGGGAAATGGGAGGATAACCACGAATAGGATGAGGAGGACCACGGGTCGCCTGAGGCGCAACTGGGGCACAGAGCTGGTGGCAGAACAGAGCTCTCCCCACTCCACCGGCTTCACCTGAGCCCTCCTGGGAGGCTCCGCCACACCGCGCTACTCATCCAATTGCGGGCCCTTCCCAGAGCTGGCACGGCCTCCGAGGAGGGAGAGATGGTATCGGGAAGACTGGAAGAGGTGGGAGGGGCAGGAAACCTGATAAACAACATGGTAACCGATACCCTGCTCGCTCCGGCGGGACCTCCCTGGAGGGAATAGAGAAGCAGGAAACCTGATAAATATAAGGGATCTAGAGAGTTCGAAACCTGTCAAAATCTGTGGCAATGCCAGACGGGAAACAGGAGGAGGAGGAAGAGGAGGAGGAGGAGGAGGCAACGTAGAAGAATGGAGAGGAGGAGGGAAGAGGCGGAGGAGAAAGTGCAGAGGGAGGGAAGGTGAAGAGGGAGAAGAGGAAGATGGTCAGAAGGAGCATGAGGAAGGAAGAAGGACGAGCAATCGGCGAGGCAGGACGTTGAGGGGAGAGGCAGGAAGTGGAAGAGGAAGGACAAGGGAACAATGGAAGGGGTAAGGGAGGAGCAGGGGGTGAAAGAGAAAAGGCGATGGAGGGGAAGGCGGGAGAGCAAGTAAGGCAAGGAGGGTGGGGGGGGGTAGCCTCCTCGCTCTGTCGGGGCCTCCCTGGTGGGGTGGAAGGGGACGCGAAACCTTGAGACAGTATTGGTTTCGCATACCCTCCTCGCTCAGGCGAGGCCTCCGTGGAGAAGTGGGAGGAGCACGACACCTGATACATAACATGGCTTGCGAATACCCTCCTCGCTCAGGCGGGGCCTCCCTGGAGGAGGGGGAGGGGTCACGAAACCCCTCCTCGCTCAAGCGGGGCCTCCCTGGAGGGGTGGGAGGGGCACGAAACCTGAGAAATTAACCTGTTTTCGAATACCCTCCTCGCTCAGACGAAGCCTCCCTGGAGGGGTGGGAGGGACAAGAAACCTGATGAATAACATGGTGTTCGATTACCCTCCTCGCTCAGGCGAGGCCATCTTTGAGGAGTGGGAGGGGCACGAAAACTGATAAATAACATGGTTCTTGAATACCCTCCTCGCTCAGGCGGGGCATCCCCGGAGGGGTTGGACGGGCACGAAACCTTATAAGTAACATTGTTGTCCAAGACCCTCCTCGCCCAGGCGGGGCCTCCCTGGAGGAGTTGAAGGGGACGAAACCTGGTAAAAAGCGTAATGTTCGAATACCCTCCTCGCTCAGGCGGGGCCTCCCTGGAGGAGCTGGAGGGACACGACACCTGATACATAGCATGGCTTGCGAACACCCTCCTCGCTCAGGCGGGGCCTCCCTGGAGGGGGAGAGGCACGAAACCTTACAAATAACATGGTTTTCGAATACACTCCTCGCTCAGGCGAGGCCTCCCTGGAGGAGTGGGAGGGGCACGAAACCTGATACATAGCATGGTTTTCGAATACCCTCCTTGCTCAAGCGGGCCTACCTGGATGAGTGGGAAGGGCACGACACCTGATAAATAACATTGTTTTCGAATAACCTCCTCGCTCAGGCGGGGCCTCCCTGGAGGAGTGGGAGGGGCACGAAACCTGATACATAGCATGGTTTTCGAATACCCTCCTCCCTCATGCGGGGCCTCCCTGGAGGAATGGTAGGGGCACGACACCTGATACATAACATGGCTTGCGAACACCCTCCTCGCTCAGGCGGGGCCTCCCTGGAGGAGGGGGAGGGGTCACGAAACCCCTCCTCGCTCAAGCGGGGCCTCCCTGGAGGGGTGGGAGGGGCACGACACCGTACAAATAAGATGGTTCTCGAATACCCTGCTTGCTCTGGCGGGGCCTCCTTGGAGGGGTGGAGGGGGCACCAAACTTTGTAAATGGTATGGTATCCCGATGCAGTACTGTCCTCGCTCCGGTGTGGCTTCCCTGGAGTGGAAGGTATGGTATGGTAGCTTTAGTATTGTAGGTGTGGTATGGTCTGGTAGATGGTGTGGTATGGTTGGTATGGTATGGTAGGTATGGTATGGTAGATAAGGAATTGGTGTGGTATTGGTAGGCATGGTATGGTAGGTATGGTATTGTATGCCACGTATGGTCTGGTATGGTAGGGAGGCGGGAAAAGGAGGAGGACGAGAAGGTGTTCTACGAAAACAAGAACCCCACTCAAGATATGTGAAAACAGATATGTGAAGGCTGCCCGGCAATAACTGTCACAGGTAGCCCCCCGTCCATCGCCACGCGGCCGGGACAAGCTGTATGTTTTCTAAGTTGGCCACGAGAAGAAAGGTGAGAAGCAGCGTAGAGGGACTGCGAAAGAGACCGAAAGTTGCAAGCATCCAGGAAGGCTCCAGGAAGGCGCGCAAGGCAGCCACGACGAGGACCCAGGGCAGCCTAATTGGGCGATGCCCGAGAAGCACTAAAGAAGTTTGCCAAATACATGCAGAGAGTCTCTTTGAACGTCTTTCGGGGGCGCTCTTGGAAGGCTATTTGAAAAATTGTTTGGTCTCTTGGAAGGCATCTCGGAGGTCTCTTGCCATATTTAGAGCCTCTATGGGGGCCCCTTGATGCTTCTGGGGGGGGCCCTCGGACGCTCCTGGGGCCTCTTGGAAGCCTAGTGGGGCCCTGCTAGCGCTCTCGGGGCAGTCTTCGGGGGGCGGGCTCGCTATGTGAGTTCGGGTTCTGCTTCTTGTGCCCCTTTTGGGGCTCTCCTGGAGCGCTCTTGGGTGCATTAGGGGCTGTCGGGTACCTCTTGGACCGTCATGAGAGGTTGGGGGGGGCATTTGGGGTGTCTAAGGGAATTGGAATTGCGAAAAAGCAAGAGCACGAAAATACTTGAAAATCGATTGGGAATCAATATTCGTTGCCGCTTGGTGCATTCGGCCCGTGCCGCAACCGTTCCTGGATTGTGTGTGAGGCCTCTTGGAAGTCCGTTGGGATATCGTGCAAAGCCCCTCCGGGGCCTTTTGGAAGCAGGCTTGAAGCCTCCGGGGGGGGGGGGGGGGGGCGGTTTTTGCAGCCTCTTCTGGACCTCATGGGGACCTCGTGGGGCCTCTTCTGAGCCTCTTCTGGGCCTCTTCTGGGCCTCTTCTGGGCCTCTTGGAGCCTCATGGGGGCCTCGTGGGGCGGAGGGCTCGAATCGTCGTTCGCGTTTCCCCTTTGGGGCACCTCTTGAGGCCATCCTGAAGCCCTCTTGAGCCGTCTTGGACGCCTCTTGGGCCGTTTGGGGGCCCTCTTGTCTTGGGGGCCTCTTGGGGACCTCCTGGGCCGAAAAAAGACGCTTCTTGGGCAGTCTGGGAGTGTCGAAAACACGAAGACGCGACGACGCAACAAAAGCACTGAAAAGCAAATAGAATATCAATGACTTTGGCGTTTTGGGGCCCTCTTAGAGGTCCTCTCGGAAAGCCTTTGGGGCCTCTGGGGGGCCTCTTGGGCCATCATGGGGCCATCTTGGACGGCGTGGTGCGCTCTTGGGCCGTCCTGGCGGCCTCTGGGCGTCAGCTGCGGGCGCCGAGGAGGACCCTCGAGGCGCAGGGAACGCCCTGGAGCGTTCAAACAGATTCGCCGGCGTCGGGGACTGAAGTGGGTTGCGGGGGGAGGAAGGGGTTTTGAACAAGTGGGGGCCCCAGGGCCCAGGGACCCGGTCGCTGGTCAGATTCTAGAAGCCTTGGCCCCTCCCCCATGCCACCCTTCCTGTTAGAGGCCTACCACATAGGGTCCGAGAGAATGGGGTCGGTGGATCGATCCGCATCGCCGCTGCATCGCTGATGCATCGGCGATGCATCGCCGATGCATCGGCGACGCGCCAACGATGCACTGGCAAACGGCGATGCTTCGGCGACGTCGGCGTGGAGAAAATCGGTTTCTGCATCGAACCGCATCACCGATGCATCTTGAGCAGGGACCGACCGACCCTGCATTCCTATAGGCCTACCGCGAAATGTTCTTAGAACCCAAAAATGTTCTAACAACAACAACAACAACAACAACAACAATCATTTTACCCGAACGCTCAGTGTTCTCCCCAGTGCCAGGGTTTTCTTGCGACACCAGCCAATACCCCCACTTCGTGGGGGGGCCGTTCAAGCTCTACCAAATATCCAAACGACTCTTCGAGACCACCCACACCCAGCTTCCCGCCCTATGACGTTGGGACACTTCACTTCGTGGCGTGCGGACGACCCTGGCTACTACACTGGCGTGGGGTACACACCCACAGAGGTTGATCACATCTGTTACATATGATGTGGTACACGGTACACGTGAGATGGTACGCAGTGCCAAGATAGTTGGTCACATTTTTGGGGCAAATTCGTGGGGATGCGATTACAGAAGTACATGTGTTACACTGATGTTATACAGTCCCAAGGATGACGCATGCATAGCTCATAGACTCATGGCGCTATGATCCTAACTCTCAGTGCCCAACGCGCGCGTGCACAGCCAGAAAGTAGTGCGTTTTCATATGTTTTCTGAACATCGCATCTTGAAAATATTGAAAACCCATTGTGTTTGGCAGGATTTCGACATGCGCGCGCGGCGGCCGCGCGCATGTGCACTTCGTCTCATTTTTTGCAAGGGATGGTGGCCCTCGCAGGCGCGCAACCGTTGTTGGAGAAGTTCAAAGCACCTGAAGAAGTAGCACGCAAAGACCCTTTTGACAGAAATGTTTAAAAAGTGGTGTGTTTCCTATGAATCCGCAAGAGCGCGCGGAAGGACATTTTGACAATTTTTTCTTAAAAAACCATTGGGTTTTTGATGTTTTTATGTTAAAATCGCTACGAAACCTAAGGTTTTGGAAGGATTTCGTCTTGCGAGCGCGAATGTCCACTTTACCTTATTTTTTGCAAGGGATTCTTGAAATTTGATCAACTAAGAACAAGAATTTTCATTTTCTATTGTTTTTTGCAAGGGAAAACGAGCGTCAACAAAAAACCGGATCCGGGGGTAATCCACTTTTCTGAAGCTTTCGCAGAAAAATGATGAAAATGTAGCTGCGGCCTAGGTTTTGGGCGGGGGGCGTGCACCAGGGGGTCCAACAATAATAATTCTTTAGAAGTAATAATGTTCAACAACAACAACAACAACAACAACAACAACAACAACACTGTCCTTAGAACATAAACCCGATGTGTTAAACTCAGACAGTGAAGGCCAGAAATGTTCTAAGAACATGTCGTGCAAGCCTCAAAAGGTTATTCGAAACCTTTTGGTGGGCCTATAGGCGAGCCAGGACGCTACGCCACTGCTTGAGCATCGACGATGCGGCGCGATCCTCGGACTCCATCCGCTCCGACCCGATCTAGGAGGCCTAGACTCCCCCATACCACCTTTTGTGCGCGCCACCAGTCTCCGCCGCCGCGATGGCGGCGCCGAAGGAGACCGCGTCGGGGGCGAGGCGCGCCGCGCGAATGGCCTCTCCCGGGGCGGGCTGGCGCCAGGCCGGCGCGGAGGATGCCCGGCCCTCCAACGTGTTAAAAAGGAGGTGCGGCCAGTCTTTGGCCCTTGTGCGCCGCCTTCGGGCATTTCTTCCTCCCCTTCCTCCTCCTCCTCCCCTTCCTCCTCCTCCCCCTCCTCCTCTCCTTTTTCCTCTCCCTCTTCCTCCCCATCCTCATCCCCGTCCTCCTCCATTTCCTCCTCCCCCTCCTCTTTCTCCTTGACCAGAAATGCGACGCTCCAAAGAAATTGGAACGAGCGATTTGGGGTCTCTTTTCAACCACCGGGAGCTTTCGCTGGGCCCCGGGACTGTCAGAAAACGACTCGGGATGAAAAACCAACCCAGGGCAAAAGGCCGGAACTTCCAGAAGACAATTGCGCAGGTCGCATCACTCCGAAGGAGCCGCGAAGTATGGCTTGTACGCGCGTGAGACGCCAATCCGCTGCGTGACCTCCCAGGGACCCACGAACAGGGCGACACTTGCGCAGGTGGCAAACTCCCAGGGAGCCTGGGAGCGCATGGGAGCGCCTGGGAAGCGCAGGTGGGCCCCTAGGAGCGCGCGGGAGCGCCTATGAGCGCCTGGGGGGCACCGTGGCGAGGGGGTGCCAACCCCGCCCCCTCGAACTCCCCTTCCAACCGTTCAATATGCGCGCCGGCGGCCCTTCGTGGCTGTCTCCCCGCGCGGGCCCCCAGGACCAATGGAAATGCTGCGCCCGCGGCGGCAATGCTCTGCAGCGGAGTCACCGACGTGGAGCAAGCACGACAGCCACTTACAGTGTCCAGGGAATGTTTCGATCCTCTGTGATTCTCGAGCGGTGTCATCTGGTTTGTGCCTCTATCCACAGTATACGGTACCATGGGAAATTTTCGTTTCGTCGACGATAGAGTGCTAGAGTTGCTGTGTATAGATTTTCCGATTGGCTGTATGCTCCTTTCTTGCATCGTCTGCATTTTTCTTTTCGGCCCGATGGCATTGCATGCGGTTTCAGGCTGTATCGCGTGACGAATATTTGCCAGGGCTGCGCGTGTGCTTAAAACTTGTTCGTGTTCACAGCTAGCACCATCGCCATTTGTGCTTTGTACTTCCACCAGGGCTCCGTGAGCCGACCATTTTGGAGCGGACTCCTACGTGTATGTTGGCATCTGAAACTGTTTTTATCGTTGACAGATCGGGGTACTTCTTGACGGCGTCTTGCGACATCCACCGCCTGGACTTCGAGGGCAGGGGGGCGCTCATTAGCGATGGCGGGGAAGGGAAAATCAGCGGGGGGGGCGCGAGGAGGAAGCGGACGAAAAGGATGCCGAGGAGGACGAGGCGGTGGAGAAGGGCAGGAAAACCCAGACCCCCGATGCCTTGATTTCTGACAGAAATTGTCCGATGGCCCATGCACTGCCGCGGGTTGAATAACATCGGAAGCCAGGCACAGTTGGGGGCGGGGCAAGCGACGCCGCGCTCTGGCACCGCACCGCACCGCAGCCATACTGGTGGCGTCAAGGGCGCGACTGACGCGCCCGCTGCGACAAAAATGCGCCCTCGCGCGCAGGCTGTCGTGCACGCGGCATGTACTTCCGAGCTTGTTTGCGAAGCGTCACGCCAGAATGGGCCGCGGCAAAGATGTCCCGGAGATCTGGATGGGGGTTCGCGCGGAGTAAATAGTTTCCCCGCCGCGCGCTCCACTGGCGCGCCGCAGGTCACGCTGAATCCCGCCAAGCCCGCCGCAGCTGCGCGCCGCGTCGAAGAACTGGCGCTTCTGCTCATCGCAGCGCTCGGCGGCGGCGCCCGGGGGGCCCGTCGCGGCTGCCGAGGCTGCGCGGAAGTCGCCCCGCGGCCCCGAATCGACTGCGAAGTTTAGGGCAGCCGGGTCGCCGTCGCACCAGCGAAGGATGCGCACGTCCGCTGGGCGCCGGCCGCTGGCGGCCCCCCCCCCCTCGCCCACGGGGCCGCGGCAGGCCCGGCCGCTCGAGCTCGGCGCGGGGGAAGCCGCTTGCCTGCGCGGCGAAGAAGGCGTCGTCGCGGAACGTCGCGCCGCTTCGCGCGGCCCCTGGGGCCGGGGCGCACCAGCGCGCGGCCCCCGTAAATATCCTGGGGCCGTCGCTGGCCGGGCAGGAGGCCTCCGCGCTCGTCAACTGCCCCCGCAAGCGCCTTCGCAGGGCGATCTGCATCACTCCGCAGGGCAAACAAGACTAAATCACCCCCTGTAGAGCGACAGGCCCGACTTAACCCCGGTGGCGAGGCAAGCGCGCCCCCAGAGTCTGGCCCTGGCGGCTGCGCCCAGTCCGCCAGAGAGGTCCCGCCAGTCGCCGCGCCGGCTGGCGCCGAACTCAATCCTGTCCGCCTGCGGGGGCCGCGCGGCGAAGGAGATCGCGCCCGCGCCCAATGCGCCGTCGGCGCCCGCGTCGTCGTCGCAGCAGCCCGCCCAGAGCCGCTGGCAAAGCGCAGAGCAGGCCGCGCGGGAAGCCAGGTCGGCGGCGGGCGGGCGCCGCCACGCCGGGCGCAGCCCGAGGCCACCTGCCTCGAGGGCGAGCTGCGCCTGCGCCCAGGAGTCGCCCGCGGGGGCGCTGCTACCCACTTGCTCGAGGTTCGCGCGCGCTGCGTTGTCAAGGGCGCCCAGCGGCCCCGCGTGCACGGTGGGCGGGGCCGCCCGCGCCGAGTAACTGAGTCATCAGGCAACAGCGCATTGTCCGTCGCGGCACATGGCGCGCAACCTGGGCGTTCCCGAAATCGCCGAGTGCTCCGAAGGGCTCGGTGGCCTCGTCGAATCGCTGCCGGGCGCGCTCGCGGCAGAAAGCGTCGCAGCCCACTCGCGCGCCGAGGAGCTCGAAGCCGCCGTCCGCTCGCGGGCGGAAGCCTGGGGGGAAAAAACCCGCGGGCCCGCTTCGCCGTCGCCGCCGCCGGCGGGGGCCACCTCGCACTTCCCGGGCCCCGTGCTCAGGCGGAGCCCCGCGGCCGTCAGCACTCCTGCCAGCAGGCGGCGGAGGCGCGCCACTGCGCGCCAGTCGCGCGCCGCGGCGCCGTCGTCGAGGAAGAAGAAGAAAATAATACTAAACAAAAAAAAGAAAATAATAAGAAAAAGAAGATTACAGAAAATAAAAAGAAGAAGACTGAGAATAAGAAGAAAAAAAATAAGAATGCCGAGCGCAAGGCGCCCTCGGCCGCGGGAACGGGCTGGCGGAGGGCCCTCTCAGCAGCGCGCTGCAGAAGGAGAACAACGGCGACCCCTGGGGGTCTCCTTGCCGCGCACCGCATTCCGAACGGATCGAGCGGCGGCCGAGCCGAGGCAGGGCGGGGGCGCGGTAGCACCAGGGAGCCCAATGCGCAACAGCGGGCAGCTCCTCGTGCCAAGCTGACAGGAGGGCTTGGCGGTCCAGGGCATTGAAGACGTTGCTCATGTCAAACTTAACAACCACCTTCTGCCTGCTGCCAGCGTGGCGCGCAAACCACTCTCGGGTCTCGTAAACAGCAGCGTCGCAGCCGCCCGGGAGGGCGTAACCCATCTGCAAGGGGGCGAGGCGGTCTCCGGCAGCGTCGGAGACCTGGCTGAAGAGGCACTTTGCCACCACGCGCCGCACAGGTTCCCCCGCGGCCACCGGTCGAAGGCCGCCGTCCATCCTGGGCAAGGCCACCAGCGAGGCGCCAGCACGCCAGGGGGTGGCATGGCCCTTCGCGAGGAGGTTGGTGAGGCCGAGCAGCTGCTGTAGCACCTCGTCGCGATGGGAAGACGTCTGCAGCGCGTCCTTAGGTGTTGCAGTCGCAAGCCAGCCAGAGGAACCTGGTGCGAATCTCGCTCGGGCGAAACGACGTCCAACTGAGGCGCCGCCGCCGCGCTGACAACGGGAAGGCTGGCGGCGTCCACTGGTTGCTGGCTGCGCGGGTGCTTCTGGCGCATCTGCTCCAGCACTGATTCGGTGACCTCCGCTGGGGGCTCGCTGGTGGGCGCCGAACAGCTCTTGGAGTACTGCGCGCCCGCCGAAAGCTCCAAGCAACGCTGCGTTCTCTGGGCCGCGCGGGAGCGTTTCGCAGTGGCTCGTCGGTCCGCGGTCTCTGCCGAGAGCAAAGCGCGCTTTCCCTCCAGTCAGCGCTCGCAGAGGTTCTTGGTCTGAGCTTCCGCCGCGTACCTGCTGCCGCGGACCCCGCGCGCGAGGGCGGAGAACGCACTTGGGAAGCATGGCAAACTGGAGACACGCCTCCTCGGTGTTCAGATGCACGGCGAGCGCCGCCGCCTGCGCCAAACAGCCGGCCCAGAGGACCCGCACCACCTTAGGCACGTAGTGTCTTGTGCTCGCCCGTTGGGAAAAGACCTCTTGCCAGGTGGGCAAGCCGCGCGGTCGGGGGGCACCGTCGGCAGATGCCAACGCGGCCTCTTCAGCGGCTGCTCGCCCAGCGCGGCAGCACCTCGGACACACGCACCCGTAGCGGGAGTGGGGGCACCGCTGGCAGACCGAACATTGCGACAAAGTGTGTTGGTGCAGGTAGGCTTGTGGGACCCGCGGGAGGCCCGGCAATCCGCCGGCCGCGTGCTCGCTGGGGTGCGGGCGAATGGCCGCGTGGTCTGCCCAGCCAGCGCTGGAAGCAAGGTCAGCGCGAGGGCAGCCCGGGACAGGGCAACCGACCCGGGCCCGCTGGGCGCGCCTGTGTGGAAGAGCCCCCCAGGAACCCACGACAGTGGCGACAGTTGCAGAAAGCCCACGATTTCTGAGGGGGAGGGTAGGGGTAGGGTTCGCATCTGGCCCCCTAGTCTGGACGTGCGGAGGACACCATGCCACTGGACCTCCAAGGAGCCCACGAGAATGGTGCCCGTTGCGCAGGGGGCAGCACCCCCAGGGAGCCGCGAGGCCTGGTCTCGATGTTCATAGGACACCACTCAGCATGACCTCCCAGGATAGTTACGAAATGCGGGAATTCGCCAGTCGACTTGGCAAGTTAGGAGTTTGACGGGCAGCGGTAGAGGGGGCTGGCACAGGGGGGGGGACACATCGACCAGCAATAGGCTCCCGATAACAAGTCCACACGCTCGCAGGCGGGACAAGGCTATCGGGCCCCTACCGGCGATCAGTGGGCGATTCGGGGTCGATGCGTCCCCCCTGAGCCTATCCCGCCCTAGCGTTGTCCCTGAGAGTTCTATCAACCTCCGAAGACCCTAGATCTCAAATGTCATGACTTGTTTCACAATGTGGATCCCCAAAAGTCTAGACCCATTCCTTGGGACCAAACTTTCATGCCAAATGTTTGTGTCACGGTATTGAGACCCAGTAAGAGCCCCTGGAAGACGAAAACTACCCAAAACCGTCGGTCCACCAAACCCTTCTGGTGTTCGGGTCATGAGTCAGAACACGGGCCTCCGGCGGCAGTTCGGTACGATCCAGGCACACCCAGAAGGCCCTCGGAGGCGCAGTCGCTGAAGGCATCCCGAGGCTTGAACGCCACCGAGAACCGAACCGACGAAAACGCCATGACAAAAACTCGAACATCGAGCCCCCAGACCATATCCCCCCATAGCCTGTGCACCCCTGACGTTGCCCCTGAGGATTCGATCAACCTTCGATTGGGTCGGGCCTGTCCCCCTACCTGGGGATTTCGGGCGAAAAGTTTGAAGCACCCACAAAATAGCCCCAAAATAGCAAACAATACTCAAAAACACCGTCACCATACTATCTCTTGGCTATGTTTTAAGATTCCCCCTGTAGAGGGGCAGGCCCGACTTAAACCTTCGATGAGATGCCGAGACCCAAGTCCAGCATCGACCTGCCGCGAGGCGAGCCCGTTCCTGGGCAACCAGGGTTTAGTAGAACTTGGTTTAGTGATCTGTACCGGGGGCGCCCCCCGTCCCATTTCCACTAACCGGAACTGCCGTCACCCGAAACAACACAAGCTGCGGCAAACCTGGTTTAGTGATTCTGGCCAATTCAAGGGGCTCCGGGGCCCTACCACTAACTGGGTCCCCTTACCCGGGGTCCGGGCCATACCCGAAACGAGGCAAGTGTGAAGGTCTCAGAGCCTTTTCCCGGAGGCATCCCGGATGGAGTCGGAGCAGCTGGGGACGGAGGATCGCGCCACATCGCCGAAGCATCACCGATGCATCGGCGACGTCGGAGAGGTATCGGCGACGGCTCCCAGTGTACTTAAAGACCACATCCAAGAAATCAGTTCGAGCACCCGGAAAAGTGTCGAAAGAGTGTCGAAACAGTGTCAAAACAATGTCGGACGAGTGTCTCCCAGGGCCCGACACGTGAAACCCCCCAGTTTTCTGAATTTTCTGGGTGCTCGAAATTCTTTCTGGTGATCAAGGCTAAAGTAGGTTGGAACATCATAAATATGGCTCCACATCGGCATCGACGATGCGGAGCGACCCGTCGACCCCATCTGCTCGGATGTCCCATCCTCGGGGGCGTCGAAGAGGGGGTGCCCAAAGGGGGGGAGGGGCAGCATGGCCCGAGGCAGGCGCGACGGCGAGGGGGAACCAGGGGACGTAGTGAAGTCAAGGGGCCCAAGACCACACACATAAATACACACAGATCCCAGGATTCCCCAGATTGTTCCATAGTTCCTGGATGTTCGTCTCCCCCCCCACCTCCCATAGGCACTTCTCCGCATGTGCCTGGGAGTCGACGATGAATTGTGTCTGGGTGTGTTTTTTGCTCCCTCCTGATGAAACAAGAAACGGAGCCCATGACATCGGGGAGAGGTCATGGCCGCGGCCATAAACCCCCCCCGTCTTGGCCGCTCCCCTCCTGTCCGCCCCCAGCGTCTGGGAGGCTGAGATGCTCTGAGAAAAGCACATGCCGCCGTCATCGTCGTCGTCGTCGCCAACGCCGCCGTCGTCGTCGTCCTCGCCGTTGTCCCTCCTTCAGGGTCGGCGGCACCACGTGGGGCCTTGGCCATACCTCACCGGGCGCATTCCACTCTACTCGCACAGTGCCTCCTCGCAAACGTCAGGTCAGCAAAAAACATGCTTTGTTCTATGCAATCTGCCGCCGTAACAGTCCCGCGGCGGATCCAGGCCATTTGCGAGTAGCTACTTTGCGGGTAGTGGAACGCGCTTGTCCAATATGAAGGGCAACGATCGGGGGGACTGGCATAGGGGGATGCATCGACCTGGAATCGGCGATACATCGCCGATTGATCGGCGATGGGCCCTTCAAATGAATCCGCACCTTCCCGGGCAGGCTGGGGCTATCGGGCCCCTATCGGCGATCAATGGGCGATGCATCCCCCCCTATGCCTATCCCCCCTATCGTTGATACCGAGACCCGTGCCCGGCGCCAACCTGCCGCGGCGCGCGCCCGGTCTGGCGCACAAGGGGCCGGCCGATGCAGGCGCCTGCAGCAGCTCCGCGGCTGCCGCCGGCTGCCCCGCGCGGCCGCAAGCGTGGAGCGCGGCGTTGAAGGCAACGAGGTCCTGCCGCCGGCGAGACGGACATTGTGTATGTAGGTCGACGACCGAAGAGTCGAACCTACAAGGTTTCCCGTAGGTGGAGGAAGGTAAGGGAAAGAGTAACGATCCCTTGCTTATCCCATGCCCCGCGGGCAGGCGGCGCTGTACCTGATAGCAGTACCTGATCCGACACGTCGGCAGTAGATAAGGATATAATGGGGATATGAGCGGACTTCACACACTGACATGAGGGCGCCAGAGCTTCTGAGAAGCCTCGCCGCCCTCTGGAAGGTCTCCTCGCTCTCTCCTCCGTGGCCCTGAGGGATGCGGGCCTAAGGATAGGAAGGGGTCGAATTACACCAGAGAAAAACGCCAATCAGAGGATGGTTTGACAAGGGATCGATAAAGAGATCGATAAGGAGATCGACTGGGAACCCAAGAACCTGGAACCCACCGAAATCGGCCCAGAACCAATAACCAGGAACCCGGGAACCTGGAACCAAGAACCCCGGAACACAGCCGGTTACCAACATCGGACCCCTTCAGTGCCCCATTCAGTGCCAGCACTGATTGGGGAAAAAGGGATTTCCTGAGGATGGGATGTCATGATGAGAGGACATGTGGGCGACGAAAAGAAACGGGTCTTGCGCGAGATGACCTAGCGAACTAACGCCGCAACTCACGCGGGCCGCAGGCGCGGCACGCTGCATGGGAGTCGAGGGTGCTTGTGAGCGTTGTTTTATTCGGCGTTTCGACATTAGGCAATAAGGGGGGAGGGGGGGGTCTGGCTCCGGACCTCTGCTCAGTGCGACTGTTTGCAGCAGTGCAGCCGATGGGGGAGGGACCCCAACTGCTCGAAACAGGCGCCAAGAACAGCCAATATCTACTCCATGGAGGGGGGGAGGGGGTGGGGTGCGATGGCCGGCGCCGATCGACAAAGCAATGAATCAAAAAACGCACACCTCACGCGCGACCTCACGCGGGCAGCTTGCGCGCGAATGATGGCGCAGACGACCCCGTTTGCGGCGTCGCCCATGCGTTTCCCCCGCCGAGAAGGATCCCCGAGGAGGCAGGGACAGAGCACGGGCGCCCGCGAGCGCTCGGCGCACCGAACGCAAGGCAGAGGCTCACGCAGTTCAGATCCGAGTGGCTGCAAAAGCAGGACTCCCTACAGAAAGGGCCCCTTTGGCGGGGCACGGTGCGCCGAATGAGCCTGCCCAAGAGAAGGAGGAGGAGGAGGAGGAGGTAAAAAGATGAGGGCGCCTCGGGGATGAGTTCGATCCTAACCACAACAGGGCTGGACAGGCGACCTTCTGTCATTGTCCCTGCGTTGGGCTGTGGATGGAGGGCCGCAGGGTCTGACCCGCGGCCCGCCTGGGGCGCCCCCGACCTCGACGGGTGAGAGGGGGGCCCCGCGCAAGGGCCTGCAAGCTTCCCGGAAACGACGGCAGTGCGTTGGCATGGGGCTTCGGGGCTTTCAGGAGGAGGAGGAGGAAGCGCGGTCGCAGATTCACGAAAGGCGCGAAAGGTCGCCACCTCTGGTGGCGCAGTCAGGCGGGCCGCAGGCACGAAAGTGCGAAGACGGGGCGAGACAGGCAAAGAGAGGAGCGAACGACGAAGCGTGGGGAGAGGCAAGAAGAACGGATCGTGCGCCGCAGCGGAGCGAACGGAAACGTCCAACTTCAAGAGGAACGACGCGCCCAGAATGCTTCGAACCCCACATGGGCAACGATGGCGGATGTGGCCGCGTCATGGCAACCGTAGAGCAACGCATGAGGTGTGGAGTGTCCCTCGGAACTTGCCCAAAAAGAATCTACCATGCGACCTCCATGCCCGATTCATACTGGCGCCGCGTGCGCCCGATAGGGGGCTGCTTCTGAGAAGGCGCCAACATTACATCTTTAGATGAGGCCCGCAACCTCTAACAAACAGCCTCTTTCTACGAAAGCTACCCCCCCTCTGCCTACCCCCCTTGCGCGCGCCGCCAAACCCCGCAGCACTCCAGCTCCCCAAGACCAAACTCACCAGGGCAGGGAGGAGGACTGAGGGAGGATCCTGGAGCTTCGTTGCCTGTGCGACGGCAGCGACGGCACCACCATGGGCGGACTACGCCCATTGGACCCTTCAGGGGAATAAAACATCTCCTCAGCCTGTTTTGAAATCCTCCAGTTCCCGTACTCCTCCTCCTCATCCTCCTTCTTTGGACTCAAGAGGATGGTACGACCAAGTGCTACGCCAACAAAGAGAACTTCGCCTTCGCCTCGCCTCTTCGCCTCGCCTTCGCCTACGCCGACCAAGTGCTACGCCAACAAAGAGAACAAGTCGTTCTGCCTCGTTTTGCCTTCGCTTCGCCTCAAATGCAAAGCAGAACGGCAAACGGAGCGGCCCACCAGATGGCCAAAACACCGCTAAGGTCCACCTCTGGGGCAGAGGGCGCACCGGGGAGGAGTTCATCTCTCGTCCCTGGTCGAGATGTGAGCGAAGCCTCCGGGGGGGAACGAGCGAGCAGGCGTTCGCCTCTGGCTGCAGGCGCTGCGGCGCTGCGCAAAAGCAGCGCGACAGAGACGGCCCCTTCCGTGCACGCGCGCCCGGCCGGAGCGGCCCTAGGCACGGTCGCTGGACACGATCCGCCACTCCGGGAACACGACCGCCTCGATCGGCTGCGCAGGCCGTCCTCCGCTCCGGTCCACGATCACGCGGCCGCTTGCGCGGTCCACCGCGACGAAGCCGTGGTGGCCACTGACGAGGATCGCGGAGCGCTCCAGTTGAGACGGCATTGGCTCGACGTTCCTTCTGCCCGACATTGCCGCCAGTCGCCCTTTGTCGCCATCGTCGAATAGGACTGGGTCCCAAAGATCTCTTCTGTGCAACGCCGCAATCTGGGAGTTTGCATCTTTGGAGGTGTCCAGCCCTGCATGGACGCATAGCAGGCGTCCTGGCTCGAAGTCCACCGCTATATCAACCACCCACTTGAGACTACTCAAAAATTGTTTGTGGCTTTCTGGCACTGCATCTAAAAGCGCTTGGCGCTTATCAAAATCAGTATCATCATCACACACATGAACTCCGTAACTCCTGAAGGTTTCGGAAGACTGATAAATGCGAGATCCTCCCCATCGCCGGCCCTGATAATGCATTCCACCAGGAATAGGATGCGGCCAAAATCCCTGTGTAAAATGCGGCTGCTTGGTATCGTCAAGAGCATGCAAGGACAACAATTCCTGATCGCATGGCAAACAGCTCAAGAATGCAGCCATTCCGAAGTCGTGATTGCCGCAAAGAAAATGTGTCCGTCCAGGATATTGACTTCTGCTCAGCTGCAAATTGATCAACCAATCAATTACACCTTTAGTATCTGGCCCACGATCGCAAAAATCCCCGAGAAAGACCACCTCGGCGTTTGACACTTCTTGATCTCCGATGGTGTCAACTAAATTAGTCCACAACGCTTTCGCACGCGTCAAGTTCCCGTGCAGATCACCGATGCAAATTACCCTTTTTTCTGTTGCAGGCGTGGCTGGATGATCAGTTGCGGCACGACTTCGCGACCAAGATACCCCCATAATCACTCGCACCCCATGCTAGACACCTCACGGGTCAAATAACAGTAGTCCAGAAAGGACGGAACCAAATTGCTACAGACACCGATCAACTTCGCTCACGCTCCTCATCATACTTCTCCTGACTGGTCGTGCGCTCAATCACAGCTTTACTTCCTACTGCAACTGCACGCGCATGCAAACAACAAAAAAACGAGCACGCGCAACGGCCACAGGCGACCAAATGGACCCCATAAGCACACGATCGCAAGACCAATGGTTGCCGAATTTCGCTCACCTCACGCGTCAGACGTACCATCGACTCCGGGCACTGCCAGTCACTCTGGTCGCTGGCGCTCAGGTCATAGTGGCACTCCGGCCACTGGAGGGTCTGCTCTCTCGCTTTGCACACCTCTAGGTATGACCAAGCAAATCCAGATCCTGCACAGCAAAGCCAAACCCTGCACCGTGGTCAAATAGAAGCCTCCTAGATGGGGTCCGAGTAGATGGGGTCGGAAGATCTCGCCGCATCGCCGATACATTGGCGATGTATCGGCGACGTCGGCGACGCATCCGCGACGCCATCGCGGAGAAACTCGGGCTCCACATCGAGCCGCATCGCCGATGCATCGACGATACGGCGCGATCCTCCGACCCCATCTACTCCGACCCCATCTAGGAGGCCTAGATCAAAGGAAGCGAGACCAGCTTGTGCCTTTGGCAGTGGAACGCAGAAGCGGATCGCAAGGCAGCCTGTCGGAACCACCCAAACCATTCCAGCTGTACCTCCGCAACGCCAGCCCTGGGATGGCAGGCAGACATCCCAATCTCAAAAATTCGTCCTGCGGCACCCCATGGGCATTCAGTCAGCCCTCCCCGCGAGAACCTTCCAGCAACACCCACGCATCATTCCAGATAGCCTCTGGGATGCTTTGCTCAATCTGCGGCCCTATAGAACTCCCTGCCACTTCCCTGGATTTGCTGTCCGCCCGCGACCCATGTTCGCTTGTCACCGGGCCAGGAAACGAGACCCGTAACCAGGCTCTAGTCTAGGAGAACCGCACGGAGTGTAAACGACATGTCGTCGGATATCTGGAATCTCCGAGCGTCAAAGGACCCTCCAGGACATGAGAAGGCAGCGATCCCCGCCCCACTGCCGTCCAACCAGGTCTGTTTGCAAATCTGTTTCGCAATAGCGGCCGTTACCGGCCCCGGCCGCCCCCCCCCCGCCCCCTCTCCCTTTCCGCAGGTAACGTCACGGTTCCTGCTGACGTCTGCGCTGCCTTTTGTTGACTATTCCTGGACATTCCCAGGCGGCGCTAGCACGAAACGTGACGTTGCCTGCCCGTTCCCCCCCCCCCCAATAACGCGCGCTGCCGCGGGGGAATCAAAAGAAAACGCCTTCCAATCGCCAGGCCCCCCCTCAGGGGCAAGCCAAACCACGCGGGCACCGTCCAAGAACATCACACCTCTCACCACGCCGCT